CCCCATCGCAGCTGAATGCAGGCATTCAAGACGCAGGTATACCGCTACCTAGGTAGGTACATTTTTATTTGAATTCGCAGAACCAAACGGGCGGTGTCGCCCAATTACATGGAAGCGAATGAAAACAGTAAAATATACCTGCGCGCCGAGAACTGAATGTGGACTACTGACACAGTCTAATCGCACCTATCTAGTATCTACATGTAGGTATTGCTCTCTTTTTCCATGTTTCCTCTACTCTCTGTCTTCAACTCGGATGGTGCCACCATCCAATTAAATTATGGTGAAAAAGGAGGACAACATGTTACGAGTTATGCCTAACTGTCCACCACCGTTGGTAGACAGTTACTTTTATTCCCGTAGCTATGCAGAAGACGTTACTTCAGTAACGTCTGGCGCTAGCCAGGGTCCACACAGCTTTAATTTGGTGTTTGTTTGTGTGTTTGTTTGTGTCACGCCTGGCGCTATCCGTATCTGACGGCAAAAAAGCATAGGATGTTATAAATTTTTCAATTCTCCTTTTTTTTCAGGCATATCCTGGGATTCGAACCCGCACTATCGCCCTACATGCATTCCCCCATACATTTCGCACTCATACCCATTCTTCCAAGTTGCTTAACGTTATTATCTTGCGTTTGAAAGCCCTATTTGAATATTGCGGGCAGCTGTATGTGGCCAGCTGTGTTTGATTGTACGGTACGGTACGGGAGACTGTGTCGCATTACCCTCGATCGTACCTGTCCCGTACCTATCCCCTACCGTACCGTGCCATCAAAGACGGCTGGCCACAATGCATATTCAAATAGGGCTTTCAAATACAAGATCACAATGTGAAACAACTAACTACTTGGAAGAATTAGTATGTGTGCGAAGTGTTTCGGGGTAGGCACCGGCGGATAATGCTAGTTAAATGTGGAAATTGTGCTACTAGCACTGCTAGTTATTTGGAGCGATTATGCTAGTTATAATGCTAGCAGTGCCGATAGTGCTACAAAAATGTCAATCCATGCGGTGGGAAATAATGACTTCCCTATGCAGTCACTCGGAATATGGCAGTATCACAGGACAACTCCAGACCTGCCAGACTCTTTGCCAGTACATGGAAGCGAACAAGTCTCTGATGAATCTTGAAATCCGCATCCACATACCGCAGAACCACTGCAAGTGCCTCTCCCAGGCGGGAAGTTCCATCAAATATGACAGCCACATACAGTGCACCTGATATCTCCTTCTTTAATTCATCTTCCTCCTTGCAGTGCAGGAATGGAATCAGCTGAGCCATGTGAGTGCTATATGTTAAACGTCCGTAACCACTCTCCAGGAGAGGGTGCAGGCAATCCACCTTACTGAGCGGAATTCCAGCCTTTAGGAAAGCCTCAACAACATTGGCCCGCCGAACAACAACATCTTCGGACACAGCTTGTGACAGACCGCTTCCCGCCAGGTCAGACGTGCTTTCACTTGAAAACTTTTTCCACGAAATAGTTATTGCCTGTTGGTGAAGTTTCGCCCACTTCTTACTCTCCTTTCCTTGCACATGTCGTTGGCTATTCACATGCGCTTTCACAATGCTGTGCTTGATACTGATCGTCCAGTTACAAGCTGTGCAGTAGAGTTTCCCCGCAGAAACTGAGAGGTACTCGCCTGGGAATTCTGCTATCCGATCGTGTGTGCTGCGTCGAGGAGCTGCGGTGGATTCCCAGCTGACACTCTCACGCGCTTTGCTTCGGAATTCTGGCTCGAGTCGCTCGACTTTCCACTTCTTGCAAACGACCCTTTGCGGGCAATAGCAGCTGGTTGTGCTGCTGGAAGACTGTCGGCTGCCGCGTTCTTTTCCAAGTCAGAACTTTCCTCTTCGCTAACAAAGCCATCACTCTCACTGCTCTCATCTTCTGTTTCAAAACCAGAGCCTCCGTCTCCCGTAGCTGCCATCAGGCCAACAAATTACGACAAGCTACGACAGTACGACTAGTTTGCTCACTTATAGCGAAGGACTCACCACTTTTATAATTAATTTCACTATCAACAACGACTCAACATGCTAAAGTTGAAGGCCAAAATAATTACAAACTATCGTTCTTACTTGGAAAAGACTCGCCGTATCATTGACATTGAGCTTCAAGACAAGCATTGCAAATTTGGAAATCAAATTTGCAAAAAGTGTGCACAATGCTATATTTAGCTCCAAGTACAAGTCAGTGCAGTTTGAACAACTCCGTAAACGCAGCAAACAGTGCCAAACACGCTTCTGGCAACGGTGGCATCCAGCATACACTTTCATCTGGACGTAGTGCTAGTTTCACACATCGATTGTGCTAGACAAGGTCACATTTGGAGGCTTTATGCTAGGGCAGTGCCGGTCTTCCCCACAGGGGTCATTATGCTAGTTATTATGCTAGCATTATCCGCCGGTGCCTATTTCGGGGGGATGCATGCAGGGCGCGCGATAGTACGGGTTCGAATCCCAGGTTATGTCTTACAAAAAAAGGAATTTTTTAAAGAATTTATAACATCCCTGTGCTTTTTTTTTGTCTAGGTCATCAAGGCAAAAAAGCTTAGCGTAGGGCCCTGAGCTTCCAAGCTCTCTCGTCACAGACTTTACGGTAGTCATAACTCGTAACATTTTGTCCTTCCCCTTTTTAACTCGAATATTCGATCGGAGAAAATCAGAGTACTCGAACTCGGGATCTCAGTGCCAGCTTTCACCCCCCCCCCCCCAGTCTTCAGTAATAACGGAGGAGCCGCACATAGTTCAAAATAAAAGATATAGAGGCACCAGGAAACAGTTCTTACCTACCGTGCATGTCACAGACATTTTTGATAGTGTGTCTACCCCTCAATTGAACGTCTGCTTTTGCTCGCGAGTCATTCTACTGTGTGTTTGGTTTAAGCAATTAGTCACGCAAAACAAAAAACAGTTGAAGTGGATAGCGCTAGACGGTTAATGTTCAGGTGGTTAGTGAGAGAATGCGGGTGGCTGTAGTAGAGAGGAAAAGTACCATTCATTACAAAGAGTGATCGTATTCTTGAAACCACGATGGCTCGCTGATAAAAAGTATAAAACGAAAGCGCTCCAAGGAGATCAATGTGTTTTATGGTGGCGAAGGAACTGGAGCAATGCCCTTAAATGGCAAACACTCACTTAGTGAATGTGTGCAGTAATATTATGTTAAACAAAGCATCGATGGTTTGTAGAATCTCGCGACTGAGAATCGAATGGCATGCTGACTCTCTGCGCAGGAATTGTAAGCGTGGAAAGAGGTCTAAACATTTCTAAAGACATTATGAAAAGAGGAAACTAGTTAAGACGTGCAGTATGTTGCATTTGGATGCAAATAAGCGCAGTGTTAAGTGAATCTAGTAGTGCATTGGGTTTTATCCACGCTTTCTTAGCTTCATTTCCACAAACTTCAAACTCATGGACTCGTTATGCACGTACACTACACCAGTGTGGTCTGCATCACTACGTCCATACAACCCATTGACATTGACTAAGTAACAACTGTCATACCACCAACCACCCTTCTGTTTAGTAGAACAGTCACCACTCCATGAGTCATGATCACGGTCTCGAGTACTGAACTGTTGTCCATTGTGGTAACTCATTCTGTCATGCAATGTAGGGCTTGAGAATCCTGAAATGTGTAGTCTGTAATTGTTAGCTTCACCTTCAACACGGAATGTTGACCACTTGGCATAATGCTTCTCTTCAGTTGTTGTGAACACCATATCAATACGTAGTTCATAAGTACTACCAGCTTGTGACGTCAGATATTGTAGTGTATCTAGACCCAGCCAGAACTCTCCAGACGCTGATCCGAATCCTCGTTTGTATGCATTCCAGTCACGGAAAAAGTCGACCGATCCATCCTGTCTTCTCTGAAACACAATCCAGCCACCTCCATCAGTCTCTCGATCACAGTATGCAGTGAATCTTGTTGTCTGTGTTCTGCCATTGAATACACCTGACGGACCAGAGTCGGTTCTCTGACAAGAAAATAACCCTGCAGAAGAACGCAAAAATATAGTAAAAACGTTCATAACCCGAGGAAGGGAACAAAATTAATAAATGCAGCGGAAATGTACGCAAAGCTTCGGGTGACTGTTAAAGGGGAAGTTAAGCCTAAAATCAAGATTTCACCAGTTGTAGTCTTCGGAGTGCTGAGTCGAATGGTCGTGGTCCGAGGAAGCTGCGACGCTCCCTTCCTACTTTGACCCCAATCGAACTCGCGCACTTTCACCGAAACTGGGTGATTGCGCCCTACTAGATGGGGATTTGTATGCAAAATGTCACTAAAAGCGCCATTTCGTTCTTATAAAAGCACGGATGACCGAGATTGGCCCATTTGTTGTAATCCTCTGGACGCTGAGTCGACTGGTTTTGGTACGAGAAAGCTGCGATGCAGCGCTCCTCCTTTATTCCCAATTGAACATGGTTGAACAAGCGGTCACATCCTCCTGCGTGCCCAAGCCACCTGGTCACCACGCCAGCAGGCGACTACTTTCACACCAAGGTTCAACTCGAGTTCAACTCGAGTGACAGGACTGCACCCAAAAAAGTTCAAACAGGCTGTAAGTTGTACCCTGTAGGCACGGTGACCAGGTGCTTGGTGTACGCAGGAGCACATGACCGCTTTTTCAACCAATTTTTATTTATCGCCTTGGTTGGCAATCACCCACTCTCTTAACATTGGCCGGTGTTTCCACCGAGTCTTGAGATGTTGTAATAAATAGTTATATAAAATATAAATATGAATCTGAGTTTCTCACCAATTAAAGATCACTAGAAGTAGATTCAGATCAACATAGTGTTTGATGGTCGCTTTCTGGCCAGAAACTCACAAGTACCTTTTCAAGGTGGTGGTTCATATGCCATTTCTGTGTCATATACCTGATACGTGCAGATTCACATTTGCAACGAAAGAATTTCCTCTTTGTGCACGTACAAAATAATTATCAGCTTAACGCGTTTAAATAAATATCAATATATTACATCATACCTTCTTGATTTCCGTGGCCTTCATCCAGGCGGTGATTCTACAAGAGAAGGCAAACGTGTGTGTTCAGTGAGGGCTGCGTACCACCATTCTGTGTAGTTTCACAGGAGGCGTGAATTTCGAAGTCTGAGGAAACCGTTTGACTGTTTCTGCTGGATTGACAGCTATGCTAATGTAAGGGCATGACATACAAACTACAGGCAATTGTTCAGTCTGCTTGCCTTCAGTAGGGCTACTACCAGACACGCTTTACTTGCCTCATCCTTTTTCATTGATAAACAACATTTGCAAATAAATAATACATAATACTATGTAGACGTTGTATTTCTCGCCGGCCGAGCGCAGCCAGATTGCGAGATATGATTTCTCGCGAAACATTTTCCGTTGCAAATATAGCATCTGGTGTGTTCTTTATTGTCGCTTCTTTTCCTGACTTCTTCACTCAGTCTTGAGTCTCACCAGTAACATGTGGCTGCGGCCAACTACCCTTCACTTCGTGTGTTGTCGCTATTGCTGTCTATGTGTCTGTGTATGCCAGTATATGTAGAGCGAGAAATGCGGTACTCTGAAAATGACGATAAACATAACTGCATATAACTGCACACATGACTATATGAGTATATGTACATGTAGATGTATGTACTGTGCTTACCGGTGCTACAACTTCAGATGAGAGCTGAGTCAAAGTGGAATTGAACTTTGTCATGACTTTTTCCTCAAGTCTCTGGAGAAAGGTTTCGATCCGACTGACGTCGTCATGTCTGGCTGCGTCTATCCCTCGCTCCAGGTTCTTCATCTGGTCACTGATTTGATGCACTGTGTTTGCGTACTTTCGGAACGTTCTTGCATCCAGCCACTCTATTGTATAAACACACACATGGATGGTAAAACATTGTGTTTCGTCATTTGACTAGCAATCAGGGAGTACCGATTACAATCTATAGGAGGAAGCTGTCAAGTACACTACATTAGTAACCCCAGTACTGACACCACTGTCACCCGTAATATTTGGTCTCACATAAGCGCTTAGACAGGGATCTAGTTGAATAGATTATTCGGAGATATGCGCTTTTAAAACCAGAGCTTCCAAACGAGTCTTAGATTATGGAACTTGAGCGGAGGAGGCGAACGTTACATCCTGTTGAAGGTGAACATTGTCATGAAAATTCAAATTCTGCTGCATTCTGTCCTGGGAATCAGTACATAACGGGTTAACCCGCTTCGTGAATTTGGCTTTAATGTTTGACAAGAGAACAAAAACGGATACCTTGGTTGAGGAAGTGGCCTACTAATACTTACCTATCATGATATCGATGAATCCCAGTAGGGAGGCATATACATTTTCGTACTGGCAAAAGTATAATACATTCTTTTGAAATCTTGGTACAGTGAGTGTCACGTGTTAAAAAGTACCACTTCATAACTTGAGAACAACCGTTAAATTTTTAATGTTTCCCTCCTGAGTTATGAATCTCACTTTTTTCACAATGGTGTCCAGTATACAGTGGAGGACAGTGACAATGGAATGATGATCCTCTTTGTTGACATGTTGCCCCATTCTGACATGGATTTCCAGCGCACGATGGGAGAACTGAGCGGTAGAAAAGGCAAGTAAAAGAGCAAGAGGGTTCAAGAAACACTCAATTTCAATAACGTTATTGTGTCCTATGCAGAGTCACTGGAAGCTGGAGTTCTGAAGTCTCAAGAGTCAATAATAATATATGTTTGTTAAAATCTGATAAGATGTCAGCTACACCATAGCTCCGGAATGGTTTGAGGTCTGGTGGTGGCAGTCAATCATTTCTTCACACTTTTCTCTTTTCAACACCATGATGTTTCAAATTTATCAGGAATTCAGGTAAACCGCTGGTAGATGTTAGACAAAGTTAGGTTTTCTCTAATAACGTTAACCTAATTACGTTAAAATTCATTAGTTCTACCAAAACATTTTTCTATTTCACCCTTATAATTGGACGGGCCCAAAACAATGTTGAACATTTCAAGTGACGTACACGGTATGTAGCAAAGAGACCGTGTTTGAGCGTTTGAGATGAAGAATCCTTTATTTTGGCGTAACACTACGTATCACTAATACATGAAAATATTACCGGTCTGACAATACGTTCCAGAATGACCATCATTGCAGTTGCAAATGTACGACGAGCCTCTCCCTTGTCGAGAACCGCTGAAAATGCATTTTCCTGCATTGCTGCATGGGGGACTTTGGCGACATTGCTCAAGCTGCCCACCTGCATAAGACAATAGTCAAATTCGAAACAAAAGGTGGGTGGATAAAGTATTAGAACTCTCTTACAAAAATCAGCCGGCTAGAGCGCTCCTGAATGCTAAAATGATTGGGGTACAAATTTGTGGTATCAAATCCAATACAACAGAATTCAAAGACTGATATATACGTCAGCAATTTAATTTAATCTTTCCAAAAATTGATGACGAGTATTATCAATTGAATGCAAAGCATGTTATGGTACTCGCTACCGATAAAGCTCTTCTCCCTGGTGCTGAACGTTTATATAACCTGGGCAATGCAAAGGAGACCAAAATTGCTCAAGCCTACACAATCAGTCATGTACTCTGAGGTTTGTGTAAGGCCAGACTCGGTACAGGTGGGCCAGGTAAAATATTGTCTGATGAGTTACTGAGACAAGTTTTCACATACGTGTATCTAGAAATTCCCGAAGAGTGAGGGACCAGGGTTACGTGTGTGTAAAGTCACAAACATAGACTTGTATGTTTGTCATCAGTTCATTAGAAGTACAGCATATGTGTAGTAGATCAGTAGACTCACTCAGACACTGTACCAGCATTTCAGCATTCTGCCGTCCACCTAGCAAAGCTGATAGGGATGCGGTGTCAGCGTTGGCGTAGTTGAGCTGATCAATGGGTTGACGTAGGCCAATTATTTCAAGTAGTGTCTCTGTGTCCTGGATGCTAAGACGAAGAGCTGTAGATGGTAGAAGATGAAGAACTCGTGCCATACACGACTCATCAACACCTAATAATGGACAAAAAGTGAAAATGATTGCACAACAAACGAGTACAGTTGCTTTCAGCCACAAACACTGCAGCGCATTTTTTTAAAATCCATTCAAGTAAATGATCCCACCGGAAAAGAAAACAAAGAGGTTAGGAAGGGTTTAATAGCTTGTGATACTCAAGAGTTTACCTTCGTCCGACCAGTCCACAGACAAAATGATGTTGGGTTGTAAACTAACATCGCTATAAAAATGCTCTTACCTGTTGCATTTCCAGTACTGGCGTGGGTTCCTGCAAGGACGGTCCTGGAGAGAACACTACGAAACGAGACCACCCACAACAATGCAAACCGTACAGAGAGGCTAGTAGTTGTCCGCAGGTTCATTTTGCCTTCGATCAGCGTTCAGCTGATTATCTAGAAAAGACTCGTTGTGGTGACTCAGCTCCACGAACGGTGACTTTGGAGGCGCTTCAAAATACAGTCTTTTCCCAGCGACGACAAAATCAATCTCACGCAAAATCCTGTCGAGTAAATGTTCTTGTACCTTCTTGCTGTAATAGCATAATCATGATGGTAGATATCCAGTTTCAATTGTGCCTGGTTTCCTGCGCCGCAGTGCGTAGATGCACAGCACAAGTACAAGTAGGTTCAAGTCTGACGTCATGTAGTGCATCATTAACATTAGTATCATGAAACATCTAGCCGAGTACCAGTTTGGGCTTCTGCCAAATGCTCTAGTGGTAGTAGACCTGCTGAATCTTCTGAATGGCTGCGCCCTATTAACTCTTGGAGAGCAGTTATTCCAGTAACAGTAGACACCGCTATAGCTTTTGAAAAGGTGTCACGCTGTTGCAGATTTTACAAGATCACTGACTACCTCTTCAATGAGTCTTCGCCTCCATGGCTAACTGAGCGTATCTCGCCGACCGTCATCTGCAAATACCATTGTTTGTTTTGTGAGCACCATAACGAGCTCGACGAAGTTAAGTATCTAGAACTGACTCTTGATTCAACTTTATGTTTCAGTGCCCACGTGAACCCCCTCAGTGGAAGGAGGAACCTTGCTGTCCAGGCTAGTTGGCAGTTCTACTTGTCAGTAGTCCAGAGCAAGCTCCAGTACGTCAGCACTGCCTACGTCCACTGCCTCGCTGACAAAGTGAGAGATCAGCTGCTACGCATAAGTAAGAGAGCACTTAGATGCATATTTGAGCATGACACATTCACGCGGACATCATACTTGCTTGAGCGATACCACATAATTAGCTTAGACAAAAGATATCATACTAAGTCCATATTCTTCGTGTTCGGTTGCATCCACAATATCTGCAGTTCACTCCTCTCTGACATGTTCTCCCTTCGCCGTGACTGCACTCACACAGATAGAGTAACCCGAGGCCAAGTCAATTATTCCCTTTCCTTACCCATTGTGCAAGCTCAAGCTGGATACAGATCTATTTCATTCTTTAGTGCTGACCGCTTTAATGCGCTTCCCGAATCCCTTCAAATCATATCCCCAATTCATTTCTCCAGGAACTTAACAATTTCATTCATCTTGGGTACCCTGTAAGAAGCCCTTAGGGCCTGTTGGGAATGCCCAAGTAAAATACTAAAATACAATACAATACAATACAAATCAAGCACAAACATGAGGACTGAGGGTGGGTCACCGTGCACGAACAGTCCACAAAGAGCGAAAATTACTGCGAAAGTTTGCATTTTTTCTCGCTCCAAGAAATTTTCGTGTGCACTCGCTTGTTTTTGAGAAGTGGTCTCTATCCCATGATTTGTTTGTTGCGAGTGGCGGCACGCACACCAGGTACCCTGAGTTACGGCCTGAGACGAGAGCTCTTCGACTACGTTGTCCATGGCCGGAGACCCACAGACAAACGGGCCGGGTTGGCTTGTGCCGTAATCTTGTGCATCAACACCTGAGGCTGGGATTCAAAAAGGCATCATTGATGTAACCGACTCTGAGCAGTGAGAAGACGAGCAAGCAGGAGATCGGAGATGGTTCTGGAGACGAAGCAACACGGGCAGCCACAAGTATCGGAAAGCTAGCACTCGCGGACCAAGCTAAGAGTAGAGATCAAGCACAAACATGAAGATTGAGGGTCGCTCACCGCGTCGTGCACCAGGCTGACCAGTTGTCCACAAAGAGCGAAAATTACTGCGAAAGTTTGTTTCGCGTTTCCTGCAACTTTCGCGTTCAAAACTTCGAACGTTCGCACGAAGTTTCGCTTTTCGTGACGTCAAACGAAAATTTGCGCGAACGTTCGCTCTGCAAAACCTCTCTAGTGACAGTTTCACGCTGCTCCTGTCACATCTCACTTGATGATCATACACCTTATACGCCTAACTCTATGCTCCCAAAACCGCTGCTTGGATTGGTATTTGACGTCGAATAACAAACAGGCAGTGTTGCCTTATTACATGAGATCGACTAAAGTTACAGGCACACAAATGTTAGGAAAAGATTAAAAGAAAAAAGAAAATAAAGTAGGATTTAAGACAGAAGAGGAAAGATTGCATAATTATTTCATCAGCGGTCCGGAATTGACCTGGTTTCTTCAGTGATCGTATAGATGCAGGCAACTTATTCCAGAGAGCGGGACATTGATATGAAGGGCTGTGTGTGGCGGCGGCAGATATGATCCTCGGGAAAAGAAGCAGGGGAACATCCGTGCTCCTCGTTCCCGGGGTGTGTGACAGAGGTAGATATCGAACGCACACACACACACACACACACGAAACTTTCCTGTCGTACAGTTCCACGAACAACAGTTTACAGAGGGCTCTTTTCATGACAATAAATGACGTAAAATTTACCCGCCATGCATGTCACAGAAATGTTGGATACTGTAACTACTCGTCAATTGAACTTCAGCTTTTGCTCGTGATTCAGACTGCAGTGTGTTTGGTTTAAGCAATTAGTGATGCAAAACAACATAGAAAACAGCTGGCAAAGTGGATAGCGCTAGATGGCTAATGGTAAGGTGGTTAGTGAGAGAATGGGGGTGATTGTTATAGACAGAAAAAGTACAATAAATAAGGAAGAGTGATTGTATGCTTGAAACCACGCTGGCTCGCTGATTTGAAGTATAATAATTATGAAAGCACTCAAAGGAGATCAATGGGTTTATGGTGGCGAAAGAGAAGGTTATGAAGATGCACCCAGTATCCTGAAAAGGTAAACACTCACTTAGTGCAGGTGTGTAATAATATTATGTTGAAAAAGCATTGTTGGTTTTCGAAACTTCGAGATTAAGAATCGAATGGCATGTTGACTCTCCTGGAAAAGAATTGTAAGCGTGGAAAGAGGTATACATATTTTCAAGGATAGAGAAAAGCCATCACGAAAAGAAGAATCTAGTTAAGGAGGTTCGCGACGGTTAGCGCCATGTTGGATTTCCGATTTTTTTTCTGAAAAATAATGCCTTTCGGAGTGGAATAATGGGACGCGGTCATGCACAATCGAGTAAAAAAATAAGCAATTTGACCATGACTTCGCAGCGCGTGCTCGAGTCGAGACAAGATTTGAGGAAGAAGCTCAGCCACTAGTGGACTTGCGGATTTGTTTTGACATTGGCTGTTTTTGGATAGCTCGGTTCTCCTGCCGACGTGTCGTGGAGATGAAGACGCGGGAGAGTAATCCGTCACCCACGATGCGTCCTCTCATTCTGCGTACTGGACGATGCAAGAAGCCGAGGACGGGGACGCTTCGCAAACTCAAACGATCGATCGAGTTCCTGAAAAACGGAAAGGGCGATCTCCACCACTAACGCCACTGGATTCGACTCCCGCGAAGAGGTCGTTCAGTGCCCCTCTTCACGGTCGACGAATCGTTCATCTCAGGTATCTGGCTGTGGGATTGTCTGCGTGCCGGAATCCTGGATGTGGCAAACCTCTGGCGCTCATTGATTGCGTTGAAGAGAAGAGGTACGACCTGGGCAGCGTACTTCTCATTCTGTGTCAGCAGTGTGGGATGGAGAATTTTATAGATACATTACAGATAGCCCTGTAACTGCTCAACACCCTGGCCCCCGTGCGTCCACAAGCAACACCAAAGCTGCTTTGGGTAAGTGCGTTTTTCAATCTCATAAGATTTATTCATGATATTTGCGAGTCATTGCCACTCTATGTGCCGTATGGCTATGGAAATGTATGAGCACACTGTATGCGCGGCGGCCGCGAGTGTGTGTGTATGTTTGCATAGACCTGCATGTTTGTGCATGTGTGCACCATACGCATGTATGAGCATGCACATGCATATGCGCTCATGTGGACGTGCCCTCGCACACATACTATACACACGTGCATGGCCGCTCCCAGGGCATGTTGGTGTGACATGTGTATGTGGGCATCTCCACTCATGCACATGAGTGTGCACATGCATGTGGGTGGGTACGCACACATGCGTGAATGTATGTGTGTGTACGCGCGTGTGTTCTATTGCGTGTGAGAGCATGCATGTGTGTGTGTGTGTGTGTGTGTGTGTGTGTGTGCACGGATGTGTGTGTCCATGGTGTGCATTTTTGTGCTGGGTGAACACTCTGATCCCTAAACCGCGATACCGGAGCTCCCAAGCTACAGCCTCAGATTGATTTATAGTTCATCGTTGGGAATGAGTTCGCTGCTCATTATTATTATTATTATTATTATTATTATTATTATTTGTAAGAAAGGTTTGCTCCCCACACCGGAGCTCGCGCTATTCCGCCGACTTTACTTGACACTTGACTGACTCACGACTGCCATCCAGAGCACACGAGAAGTCCATCGAACCTTCGACTCGGCAAACCTGCAAGAAAGCACCACTCCCTGCTCAATACACAGTGTCTTCCTCAGCCTACTCAAGCTCAACTGATGAGGGGTGAATTCCCCGAAACACTGTGTATTGAGCAGGGAGTGGTGCTTTCTTGCAGGTTTGCCGAGTCGAAGGTTCGATGGACTTCTCGTGTGCTCTGGATGGCAGTCGTGAGTCAGTCAAGTGTCAAGTAAAGTCGGCGGAATAGCGCGAGCTCCGGTGTGGGGAGCAAACCTTTCTTACAAATCATCGCCGAAGTCGCAACCACTACTTCGTATTATTATTATTATTATTATTATTATGATGAAATGACCCAAAGGCAATGTGCCTATCGAGGGGTTCATTTGATTGAAAGAACAGTAGATGTAGATGTATGTACAAAGACAAGTAGGGATTGATGAGGAGAGAAATGGGGAAAATCAACTGCAAGGTGGCGGAATTCCGTTGATTGCATAAGCATAGTCAGCTGGAAATTTCCTGAGGGCAGCTTTGAACTTATAGAGCGAGGCTTCCGATGTTAGACTTGGGGGTAAACAGTTCCATAGAATAGCAGTTCGGAACATGAAGAGAGACTTAGACAATGATTTAAATTTGGGAAGAATGATTTTATTTGGTCGTCGCTCACTATTCGTAATCTTGAAATGGAAATCAGCAAGGTAATCACGATGATGGTAAACATATCTGTGAAAAGTAGTGAGACTGATGATTTGACGACGATAGGCTAGTGACTCTAGGGAGCATTTAGAATTTAAGACAGATTTGGAAGAAGTGTAATCAAATGCAATTTTTTTCTTTTTCAGTAGAGCTCTAGCAAACCTTGCCTGTAATTGATCAAGAGTGGTCATGGGTTTCTTATTAGATCCAAACGACCACACCGTACAGCTATATTCGATCACCGGTCTTACGAACCC